ATGGCGGGGCGCGCGCGGATGAGAGGGAGGCAGGGGAGATACGGGAGAGGACGTGAGGGTGACGGGGTGAGGCGTGACGGTAAGCGGAGTGCATGCCGCGTCTTGTTTAGCGGCATTGGAAAAGCCGGTGAGCGACAAGCACGGACTGCGGCACGCGACGTCGACTACGAGGGGTGGGAGGTGGGGGGGGGCAACGAATCGGCCAGATTGATTATGCATGATGTTGCACCGATTGCAATGACAATATTACAGAGTCATAGAGCGGATCAATGACGGTCAAAGATCGAAGAGAGAATCAAGGAGAACGTATATCTCACGAAGCTAAAATTTCTCGATATTTTTAATTGTCGAATTATGTATTGTGTGTTATGTTGTATATATTTCCTAATAAAAATATCTCCAAAGATTGATATTTTCATCTGCGCTTGAATCTGCTCTTTTATTAAAATATACTCTTTTCTATGTTCTTCCCTAAATCCAGACAATGATACCAAATTTACATTCGATGTACATTATACAACGCGATATAAAGAGATGCTTCCAATTTTAACCAATATTATAGTCATATATGCTCCTAAATAATACGACACTGTTGCATCCAAGATGCATCGCAACGCAACGCGGGTGGTCAACGCAGAGTGGGTAAAGTCTCAGAACCGTAATATGCAGGAATCGATTCGCGATCGTAACAAGTGCATAAATTTTAAACCCGTCAAACTTGTACATTTAAGAAGAAAAAAAAAAGGCATATAACGACAGGAAAAGAACATTAAAAAACGAGCTTTCTCCTTCTCCCGATATCAAAAGAGTCTGCAAAATTTTCTGTGCGGTCCATCACAATACACTATATTCAAGATCACGAATTTAATAAGTAGAACAATCTCTATAAAGTTTTCTTTAAAGCGATAAAAATGTTCTACTTTTCAAATTTGTATCGCAAGCGCTGGGTGCCATCATCTAACGCCACACCCTAGCTACGGCTCTGCAAACGCCCACGCACACGCGCAGGCAGATAGATGGACGTGGCGATGCACCTGAGAAAGTCGGGCGACGCCGGTTAACATCGAGATGGGCAACTCGACTCGATGATGTGACGTTACATCTCGCGTCGCGCCGCCTGGGAGGAAGGGGGAGAGGAAGGGAATAAAAGAAATCCTCTCGTGGCCGCGCGCGCGGAGGAGTGCGTACGTGCGTGTCGCTACGGCGACGATCGACCGGAATCAGCCGGCAAAGTGGACTCGTCCAACATGGCGGTGCGATGATTAGCGACGCGTCATGACGAAAACGCGATCGCGCACGACGACGGACGTACGAGCGTGGCACGCAATTACGCGTTATGTTGACATGAGTACGCGCGCGCGATCGACGAGCGAGCCGGCGGCGTCGCGATTGTCAGGAGCTTGTCGGCCGACGCGCGTCTTCCGGAAAACGTGGCGGAAGCAACATTCCGGCGTACATCGCGATGCAATGGCGACGTCCAGCTGCCGCGTGCACGCGCTTCTCTGTCATGGCGGCGGCGAGCGCGCGCGCGCCCACGGCTCACGCTGCCATTCATTTACATAACGCGTTTGCTGACGCGCGCGCAGCTCGCTTTTTCGCGCGATCCGTCGCGCGTTTCCGCACCGAATCGGTGGCGACGCCTCGATGCTAAAAAATACATTAATCAAGTAAACATATGTCGCGTTAGTTCTTCATACGCAGGACGTATCACGTAACGATTTCTCTATTTTCGCTGTATAAACCGAAACAAGGGACACGTATTAAAAAGAAATTATTCTATCTGGCAGAATTATTTGAGATTAATCTCACCTAAAATTTGTTAATTAACGTCTTCCGATATCAAGTTTTTCGGTTTCCTAATGTCAAATAAAAACGCGAGATCTTTCTTCAAGATGATTTGCATCATCACATTTCACATCATCACTGCGCCAACAAATGTACTTCAACATGTGTCAATGACAAAATATGAATAATCAAATTGTTGAAGGAACTAAAGCTGAAGGAATTTTTAAGCCTATTTTTAGATCGACATACACGCATAGAGATATATATTATAATTAAAAATTTAATCTAAAATATCATATCTCACAGAAAAAATATTTCTATATAAATTTAAAAAATTTTTAAATAATAAAGATATATGTAGACAAAAATTATGAAACATTTCTTGCGTTCATTGTAAAATTTAAAATAAAAGAAAATTTTTTAAATAACGATTATAAATATTAAAATCGATAAAGAGAGACATCAGGAGAAAAGAAACGCTTTCCATTCAAGTTTGATTAATTTAAGCAAAGTTTTAAAAACCGACACAGTTTATTTGAGAAATGTATAACTAGATTATTCTTAATGCGACAATTTAATTGTCGAATTATGTATTGTGTGTTATGTTGTATATATTTCCTAATAAAAATATCTCCAAAGATTGATATTTTCATCTGCGCTTGAATCTGCTCTTTTATTAAAATATACTCTTTTCTATGTTCTTCCCTAAATCCAGACAATGATACCAAATTTACATTCGATGTACATTATACAACGCGATATAAAGAGATGCTTCCAATTTTAACCAATATTATAGTCATATATGCTCCTAAATAATACGACACTGTTGCATCCAAGATGCATCGCAACGCAACGCGGGTGGTCAACGCAGAGTGGGTAAAGTCTCAGAACCGTAATATGCAGGAATCGATTCGCGATCGTAACAAGTGCATAAATTTTAAACCCGTCAAACTTGTACATTTAAGAAGAAAAAAAAAAGGCATATAACGACAGGAAAAGAACATTAAAAAACGAGCTTTCTCCTTCTCCCGATATCAAAAGAGAAAGAGAGAGTACTCCGAAATTTCATAAATTATCTCCGTCAATCGTAGTCTATAAGGCATTTGGCAATATATGGATGGTAATATTAGGACGATTATCACATTAGTTCTTTGCACAGTTATGTTTAATTGATGAATACATCTCGTAATCAAAAATGTGATGGAATGTTCGTTCGCAATGCGAATCTGCGGAATATCCACCCTCAAAGTATTTTACCGGTTGACCTTAATCACATTTTATGATACGATATTGGTGTCCGATTTCTCTATTACATTTTGTTACACGAATAGTTGTACGGATATTCCCACAGAGAAATAATTGATACAAATTTGTTCTAAAAATATTCTGTTTGATTGACTTCATCTAATTAACTCATTGCAGCAACGTCATGAGGAGGAGACTTTAACACGATTAATCCGCGAAATAATTATAAAGAGATTTAATAATTCACTTACATAATTCATTGTATCTCTAGTTTAAGCACATTAATCTCTAAACAAAATAATTAAGTTGGAAGTAGCAGTATGATTTTTTTAATGTAAACAATGGCGTGAAAAGATTCATCCTCAAACATGTCGAAATTAGTATTCGATCGAGTGCATAATTTTGCATTTATACAAGTTTTATCATAATTTTATAAGATTTGTAATATTTTTTTTTTTTTAAATTGAGAGATGTACAAATTTATTCTAAATACGCTCATTCTCAATAGCGAGAAATCAGATTCAAATTAATTAGACCACAATTCCTGGATTCGTGTGTTAACCCACTGGTGTCCGCAAGCATGTGTCAAGTACGATATAGATGTCGAAAGGAGAATATTCTACATCGAATTGCAATTAGGTATCTGTATTCAACATATGTAATCATGCTTAATGTACTTTGTCATTACATATAACTCAACGTATAGATTATCATTACATTGGAAAAATTATACGATTGTCATACGATTGAATGCTCCGCAATGTTTATTTTGACACGGAGATAAAATATCGTGAATATAAGAGTGAAATAAATCTGTCTTCATTTATACATTATAACGCTACGATTCGGAAAGGAAAAAGTGAATCGGTTCGATCAATCGTCTGCGGATAAAGTCGGCCGAAGAGACGTTGGTTCGTCGCGGACTTTCATCCACCATTAATCAACACGGTGCGTGTGTACTCGTTGCACGACGCGCCCCTTCGCGGTTTAGACGTGCGTGCCTATGTCGCCGCTTTTCAAGCCGCGTTACCAGAAGAAAAATAAGAATGGTAACTCCTCCAAGTCGCCGCGAACGTATAGCGAAACGCGCGTATCTCGGCTGCGTCGCGATAAGAGGAGCGAGAACGAGCCGCGCATATACATAAGACGCGCGCGAGAGAAAGAAAGAGAGAGAGAGAGAGAGAGAGAGAGAGAGATATCGAGGAGCAACGGCGCTACGCACTATTGCCGTATACCCGCGTTTTCGTCGGAGCGATCTCGCCGTTCGCGCGTCCCCGATCCCGCCCGTGCGTCCGAATTTCTCGGACGCCGAGGCCGAAGCGACGCCACGATCGACGCGTGATCACTTCCGAGGACGATTTCGTCGCGTCGACACGCCGCTTCTCGCGACAGCAGCGATGCGAAATGAAGCGAAGTAGAGCGGCAAAGCGAGTATGTAGGTAAATTACGTAGAGAGAGAGAGAGAGAGAGGAAGGAAGAAAAGAAGAACCGATGAAGCGCGTTCCGAAAAATGTACCGCGTGGAAACACGTTTTTTTTTTTACTCGGCCACGAAAAAAAAAGATAGAGAACGCACAAGCGAGCGAACGTAAAAGCGTAAGAGAAAAAAAGGAGAGAATGCGAAGCCTCTAGAGAGCGGCGCGCCATGCTCGTAGCTCGTTCGCGGCCATGCATCGTCGTCAGGATGCGTGCATATGCCATCCTCCCGGTCGGTGACGAGCGCGAGCGACAACGGGATAGCCACGCGGTCGCCGACAGGACGGAATGTCGACGGCGGTGGCGAAAGAATTGGAAAGAGAGAAAGACGAAAGTGCGAATCGGAGCGGCATGCCGCATTAGCGGATGCGTGGTGTTTTGCCGCCGCTAAAGCGCGAGGCAATACGACGACGAATTCGTCTTCCTTCTTTCCCTCTCTCTTTCTCCTTCCTTCGTTCTATCGCGAGCCGATAGTGTGTTGAACACTGTCGCGCGGCGTTCGAGCACGCCTCGCGGATCACCCAGGTGGTAACAACGACGCACGATCGTTTCGTGACAAGGATAAGCGACGTGCGTGGTTTGTAAATGCATGCTCCGATCCTATGCGAGTAATAAAGAAGCGCGTGCTAATCTAAGATGAGCGGGGGGAAAAAAAAAAAAAAAATTCAGAGAGAAACACACGCGCACGGATACATATACAGAGGGAAAGCGAGGAAAGAAACGAGATAAAGATTTGAGAAGCAGCGTAAAATTTGAGGGTTGTCTTACGTCGCCGGGCTTCTTTCCCCGCTTCTCGAGCTCTATCCGCTTCTCCATGGCCGGCAGTCAGTTCCCAATCGCTCGTTCTCGCCTCGCTCCGTACGCGCGCACCGTCCCCTCCGCCTCCTCGCTGCGTCGCAACACCACCAACTACGTGTGCCAGCAACCTTGCTCTCTCTCTCTTTCTCGGGCCGGGAATATGACGGACGGACACGGCCGAATCACGATCGGTCACCGGACAGAGTGCGCGGACAGGGATGCCACCGTCGTGTTGCCCGTGCGGTCGGTTGCGTACGTGCTCACGGCTTGGCGGTTGCCTACGTGCGTCGCGCGTGTCGAAGAATAGACGAGAGAGGCCAACTCCGCGATTCGATTCCGGTCTAAAAGCCCTTACGCGCCGCGTCTCTCTACGTGTCTCTACGGATCCGACTCGCCGGACTGTGTGCGGTGCGTCCCCCGCTTCCTCTCCCCACCTCCCACCCTTCTTCCTTCCCCTCACCCCCTCTTCTCTCTTCACGCGCAACACAACACAAGCCGCACCGGAGGCGGGAAACGAGACATATGTCGGGCACTACTTTCGAAGCGGCCAATCCGGACGGCCTATCCGCGCGATCGTCGTCGTCCTGCCAACTGTCGGCCACCGTGACGAAGCGACGACGAGGCGCGCCACATTTCGGCGCGTTCAAATATGGCCTTTAGCCATAGCGTCGCCGACCGTCGTCAGAAACGATCTGCGAGGTCGCGAGACTTTTGTTGGACGACGCATTGTTTCCTGAAATATTCACGTCTCAACCAATGTTTATGAGAACTTATCGTTCGAATCAATTATCGGACGGCTATCTATATATCGCGAAATGCGTCATTAGTCGCATTTCACTTCCGGGCATTTTCGAATCAAGCGCATGGTGATCTAGATATTCGTGAATCGTGACTGTTGATCCTGAAATGTCGGACGTTTTCGCACCGAGCGCATGGTAATCTAGATATTCTTGAATCGTGGCTGTTGATTCTAGAAGAAACCGGCGTTGCATTATGTGCGAACAACAACTTGATATACACATACACACTTGTTTTATGCATTAATAATTAACAATTTTATTTTACAAAATTTTCGATCGCACTTCTTGATTAATAGAGATTCGGATCAGATCGATGTTAGATTAAGCGATAACAAGATTGCATTACCTCTTGTAGGAGTTAAGATTAACTCTCGAGAATAAAATCATATATTATATTTAAATAAAGTTATGACAGCTGTCAAACTGTTTAGCGATAAGATTGCCGACTTAACATGTGGCTATTCATATGGATGATCTGAAAATGCTTAACTTTGGAAAGTGCAGCGTCTCTAATGTTTTTATTTTTATCATATTTGTGATTCACGGCAGGTATCATAAACATCGCAACTGCGTGGCAACCACTATGCAATAATATGATAACAATTTCAAAATTAAGAAAATATAAAATGTAATATAAAATTTCAGTATATAATATTTAACAATTATTAGCGCATTTAAATAATCACAAATATTCATTAGAAAGTTTAAAGAGAGATGTGCTATATAAAAATAAAAATTATTGGAAATTTATAATTCAATTATTTCGAATATTATTGTGAAAATTTATGATTAAATTTATCTTGGATATGTTTATCTCAATCGTCGACAAAAATAAGTTTTATACAATTAATACAAGTATATTTATACATAAAAACGCATGTTTTCACAAATGCAATATGAAATTACACGTTTTCTAAATATAAGGTTATTATAATTAGAATGTATCTACCATTCTGATTTCAACTTTTATTTCGATTTTAATCTACTGTGGCTGCGTTATCGACGAAGCAATCCTTCTAAAATTAGCATGTATGATCGTGCATTTGTTGATTTGAAAGAGTCATAGCGGCGACTATATAATCGAAACATCAACAAGATTATTTTTCCACATTTATTCGTTTTCTAACAAAGTTAGATTAAATAATTTTATTATCTTGTCGTAAGCGACGCGAGTTTACAAGCCGTTTCTATTTTCGCATTCAAAATTCTGTCAACAAAATGAAGATTTACGTAACCTCAAAATTTTTGCAATAATTTATTGATGACAGATTGTATGGAATGTCGAATCGACGAAATTCCAGAATAAATAAATGATCAATCCAATTATATTTTCGGAAAACAAAATTTTTCATGTCACTTGTTACAAGAAATGTCAAGCACAATTGCGTCAGGTATTGCGTCAGTAGTTAGAAATTATAATTTGGCACACAAAATGTTTTTTTTTTTTTTTTTTTTTTTTTTTTTTTTTTTTTTTTTTTTTTTTTTTTTTTTTTTTTTTTTTTTTTTTTTTTTTTTTTTTTTTTTTTTTTTTTTTTTTTTTTTTTTTTTTTTTTTTTTTTTTTTTTTTTTTTTTTTTTTTTTTTTTTTTTTTTTTTTGGGCAAGTAGGTGTGAACACAACCGCTTCTATCGATATAAATAAAAGGATTAAACGATGAAAGCAGTAGAAAGATAAGAATCTTTTGATTTTGTAAAAATATTGTATTGGAATAAAAAGTTATACTTTCATTATAGATTAATTATTTCTCATTCAGTCTAATAGTTCCTCTAATACATATATTGCGTGCACTGCGTAACGAATTGTTTTTTATATCATTAATTTTTTTTACTTCATAAATTATGTTTACATAGAAAATCAACAACGTGTATAATCAAATTGTATAAATATATATTACATAGTGTTGACTTTATATAGAAGACTAAATATCTCGAATGCTATCATTTGAAGAGATAAATGAATAAAATTCGCATTCTTAAATTTTTATCAATATCGACCACAATCTTATCTTACATTGCGCATGGTTTCTGGATGTAAAACCCGTCGAGCGCGCGCGAAATAAACATATAAAGATTTGTATCTTAATATTAAAATAAAAATTCAGACTATTCGTACAAATGCATGCACACACATTTGTCGAAACTTTATCACTTTATTAAATCCAGAAATGGGAGGAGGATGGGGGACAGAATATTTCACTTGGATTTCGAAGCGCTGTATCGCGCGCACGTTCGGAGAGAGCGTCCACAAGATGATCAGCGTCTCTCCTCGCGTAGGGTGATCCGCCTCTCTGCAGGTGTTAGATTCCGTGAAAGGTTGAGATCAATATGCGCTCATTGATTGCACCGTGGCTGCGCTGCAGCGTCGACCTCATCGGGCTTATCCTCCTCCTCGACGCTAATCCGTGGTGAACGCGTTGGCCCGTATTCTCGGTTTGACATTGAAAGAACTGATCCAATTGATAATTCTCTTTTTTTCTCTCGCTACTGGTTAAATGTGATTTTCCGTTTCTAGGTCGTAGTAATATCTACGTAATAAGCTGATTGTAATACTGAAAGTGATAGACAGTTCAATTAATTATGAAGGGCTTGTGAAATTGATAAAACCAGCCCTAAAGGCTGAACGTGAAATCACGTAATTTTTGAATCTCTCAAAAAAGTAATTGTTTATCGGCGACCAAACAAACTAGAGATTGCGTACAGGATTATAATTTTTGACAAAATTACAACACATATGTCGCATTTTCGATTGTAACAACAAACTATAGGATGCAACAGATGCGCGAAATGTTTATGATGATATTTATATACATGACTTCAAATTAAATTTCTCTATCAATTCTAATCGATATATTCCTTACAGAGAAATGTTTTTTTACGCCTTTATAGAACGTAACAATTTATTCAATCAGATCTGAGTCAGTTTTGCATAGTAAAATCTTGTTGACCAAAATCCCGGTTAACGAGCTCGATTATTACGTGATGTTACGAGCTTGAATAGTTTACTAGTTCTAGGGGCTGTTATTTATATACCATAACGAGAGGAACTTACCATACAATGTGTTTAGACGTGAGGAAAAGAATTAATCTGATGTGTGATAAAAAATTCTCTCTGATGTGTGATAAAAAATTCATTTAAATTAGTTAAACCTGCCGCGGTCTAATAATTTGGCCACAACTGCTGATTAATTTGTAATTGTATACTATGGAGAAATATTTTTATGTAAATTTTGCATTTATATTCTACACAAATATGTTGTATTAAATATTATATATACATGTAAAGCTGAGATAATTTTTCATACTTCATTTCATGAGGAAGAATTATATTCTTTATAGTATTACACACAAAGCATGCATAATCTAATGGCCACATTTTGAGATAAATATTGATCATGTACATGGGTCAGAGTTCGTATGTAATATTTGTGTTCATTTGTGAAATCAATTTCCTTCATATATGTATATGTGCGCGTGAGAGAGATATCGAGCCTGATCATTTTTCTGGTTGACCTATGAAACAAGCAAATACATGTACACTAATAAAGATCGCTGGCTAGTTGCGTATAGATTCGTCGTATTCATGTGGCCAATCAAATTACGCAGCTATAAATAGAAACTGCTGTGTTTCTTTCTTTAATCTCTATCTTCCTGCGCAGTGTCAAGACCGTGTGTATATCGTGTAGTTGCATACATCGCTATGCACATGTGTTTTGTCTTCAATTTTACCTACATTTAGAAGCATAAGATTATATAACATTAGACTAAAAAGCATAATGTGTTGGGGGATATATTTAATATTGAAACTTTTATATTGTAAACATTTAGTATTTTTTAGATACATCAACGATAACGCCACGAAAATTGCAAATTCCATCAAAAACATTTATTGTGTAAAAATATATATATATATGTATGTATGTATGTACACATATTCATGTTATATTTTCAACACTACTTGATTGTTATTACGATAAAACAATCCTTTTACATTGAGCAGTGACTGTTTAATTCTAAGAATACTGTAGCTAAGTGTATAAAATCGAGAAATAGATGTACGATTCTAAATTACATCAGATAAATTTCTTTTGCAAGTACATTTAACATTAAAAATGCGCAATTTTACAATGCAGCTTTTGAAACACATATAGGAGCTTTGTTCCAATGTATACAGCACATTCTCCTCATATCGCGTTATTAGTTGCCTATATATTGTTTATTTTAAGTTAGAAGATGCCTTTTAAGAGAAAAGAACGAAAAAGAAATACTATTGATATACTAAAACGATAAATGATTATTGCTACAATATTCTGCTATATAAATTATTTTCTATTTACTATGCTAAATTCATGTTAAATTATTTGCTAAGAGATAACTCACGAAGTTTTCTCGAAATGTTATTGCAGCTACACTGTTAAAGATTATATTATATAAGAGAGAAAGTTCTTAGAAAATTGTTTTCAGTATAAAACTCAAAAAATGTGTAACTAAAGAACAAAAATTTATAAAAGCAGATTATCGTTATTTTTTCATCAATGTGATCGTTTTCAAAATATGTTGAGAAATATGCTAAATTTGGTTAAAAATGATGATATATACTAAATTAAGATAAAATAATCATATACAATTCGTTTTTGAAACTATTACGAATATAAAAGAAAAAGAAGAGACAGTATTTATTTTAAACTTTGTTAAGAAGTATAACAGGAATATTATCGTTTCTATTATTCTACCAAATTGCAAATAATTACTTAAAATTCAATTACAATTAAATTAAGGTTATCAAAAATATGAAATTACGTACATACAATATATAAACGACTTAAGAAATACAATTCTTTTACAATTATAATATATATAGTCGACCGCAGAAATCGCGATAGAAAATTTATTTGTGCAAAAACGTACGTAAAAATATTTCTATTTACATTTATTGATTTATATATAAGATTATTTCTCTCATTGTACAAATTGCGATATATATGATATTAAAATGTTACAAATGGACTCTAAATATGGCGAGGGAAATAAATATTATCAATCTTAAGTTCTCGCACTCACAATTAAAATTAAAAAAATAAACTCGAGAGACTTATCTCAATTTCTCTGCTGCCTTATTTTTGAGAATGCTAACATCATACACAAAATACGACGTATTTAAATTGTGACATATTTTGTTATGAATAAATTTTTAACCCGAATCACACTTACTACTATTACTACTTACCATTCGTTACGTTAGTCGCCGGCAGACTTGTGATCGAATCCGAAAGGAAACGTTTACGACTTTTTACGCACTGCGACGATGCTGTTCGTATCTCTATGTGATATACAGTGTTTGGACTTTCGTTATTGTTATTGCCATTTTGCTTTTTCGACGGTACTATAGCTTCCAAGGGTGCGCAGATTTTTCGCTTCTGACTATTAGCTGCATCTTGCTTTAACGGGGCAACTGACGAACGTGTCTTGCGCGGCTGATAATCTGGCATCGCCTGCATTTTCTCCAGAGCGGTTCGTAGAGGCAGCAAACCAACGGCGAAGGGAATCTCGGTGTTGGATGGGTACGCATGCAAATCTATTTCGCCTTCCCAACAATCTAACATGTCGGACATATCGCCCCATAAGGCGCGATTTATGCATTCGCATGTATTGGATTTTATAGACGAAACAATGGAGTGCTGATCCAACGTCGCCAATCTCTCCGTATCGGTTTTAAATCTGTTATTAGTCTTCGATTTTCCTTCTTCCTTCGGTCTCGATTCTTCTTTCTCCTTATTACTGGCCACGGTACACACAGACTTGTTATTTTTTTTTACCATTAATTTCGAATTACTTTTCCTGCTGTTGGGGCTCTTCTTGTGAGATTGCACTGAGCTTGCGATCGTGTTGTGATCTGGCACTTTACGATCTTCCTTCCCTTTGCGTTTCGTTTTCGCACATGATTCTGTTCTATTGGGAGAATTCCCTTTTTTAAACAGTTTCACTGTTCCAGCGAAGGTTCCCGAAGAGAAGCCATTGTTAATAGCTTCATCACTCTCTTGTTGATTAAGTCGTGTGCTCCGTCTTAGAACTGGCTTCGTGCAATTCGTGTCACTCATTAGAGTATTCAGTCGTTTATCGACATCTTCTTCCGCATTTATTCCTTTACATCCGATCACTGTATGTTGATCGCTTATAGTACCACCTACTATCGATTGTATACTCTCTGTGCTTAAGCTCAAGATATATTCGGCACTCTCCATATCTAAAGACGTTAATAGAGTAACTGGTAAATCGTTAGCGGACGGCTCGTCTAGTAAATCTATGGAATCTGTAGAATGTGGTGGGGTTGGCACTAAATTGCATTGCGTATATACAAGCTTATTGCGGACCTCGTCAATGGACTTGCGTCGTTTGGGTGTATAAACCTTGACGCACTTCCCTACTATGCTAGGATCATCTGTGCTACTCCTGGAACAGTGTTCCACATCGCTTTCGATTTGTGGAAGGCAAGATTGCGATAGTGTAGAAATAGAAGTTTGATCACGTTCGTTTACACAGGAAAAATCACAGCATTGCTCATATAAGATAGGTTTTAAATCGTGACTATTACAGTACGTTTCGTCTCTATTGCTGCTGCTCGTGCACCTTGTTTGTACTTCGTTTACCTTATTTACGTGCATAGATACAGTATTAATAGTATCGCTATGCATACTTATATCTACATCAGAGGTTGAGAACGGAGTATCCACATCTTCTTTACTGGCATCGATCATATCTGATTCTTCGTATAAAGTATGCTCTACATCGTGCTCAGTGGCCTCAGTCATGTCGTTTTCGAAAGGTTGATTCTTGGCAGAGCTTACGTCGTTATTATTATTACCAGTACAGATATTCTCATCCATACTTATTAGTTTATCACATTTAACACAGACATAATCATTTTCTATAAGCAAACCATTTGCAACTTTTAAACTACAATCTTCTCTCTGTTGCTTTAGACAATTTCCAAAATCGTCCAAAATCTTATTTGAATCAACGATAGTATCAATCACAGATACCAATTTTTTAACCTGGAAAAAAATAGAGAGTATAAATTAGTTTTATATACTGTGAAATAATATTATATGCATTATTATATCGCTTAGATATGTAATACATATACAAAATTAAGTTACAGTTTATAGTTAAGTTACCTTAAAAATTTGTGCTGCAGTATGCAAAGATGACAAATGCTGATGAGATATCGTAGTTTCTCCACAATACATGAATTCGACCATGGCCTTCAAAATTTCAAAGTCCAAGTCATGCAAAAGTATAATTGGTTCTTGCCCCAAGTCTTGTTGCAGTATTTCCTATAGTATAAAACAGAATACAACATTTTAAAGAATGTTGAAATGAGAGAATTGACACAGTTGAAGAATGTATAGAAGATAGAAAAATATATTTATATATTTTTAGATATTTCAATATTTGCATATTATGCTTAAAATACAAATTGTTGAAATCGTTGAATGTTATATTTTGTGTAACAATGACTTATTAAGTTGCATTCAGAAAGATAATGATATCATGCAGGCAAGATGTTGTCTATCCACCTCGTAATATTAATATAAAAATAATAACTGCACTTTTTCAAAAGACAAAGACACCTGAGTGTACACACTTTACTACCCTTAAATCATATGAATTAGTTATTTAATATCTTTCTAAGGATTGTTCTTCAAAAGTCGCATGAAAAGTATGCCCCGCAAACTTGGTTTCTTCAAATGTTTGTTAAGAACTACTGAAATTCCGATATACAAGGCTTTCTTTAGTTTATATATTTTTTATATTATCCCTGCAAAATTGTTCCGCCATAAATACACTATATTCCCCAAAATTTTGAGGTGAAAATAAGAAAATATTTTTTTCTATTAGTTTATATTATACCAAACAAAAAGATCTAGAATCTTTTTATAGAAAGAACGAGAAAAAAAATGTTTAGAGGACATTCCAGTAAAAAATGGATTAATGAGAGTTTTTGAGCTTAAAATTATTAGAAACTTCTGAAGTAACATATAATGTATGTTGTATAATATATATATATATACACGGAAAAAAAAATTTTCGCTACCATAGCTAATCATGGTTTGCAAAATAAATTTCTAATAAAATTTTATTTGCATTTTTTCAAGGTTTTCAAGAAATAAGAAAGAAATATTTTTAAATAAGTCTGAAGAGAATCTTAATTATTATTTTAAAAGAATATAAGTATAAATATAAAGAAATAATTTCAAATTAACCATTACCTTGCTTCATTGAGCAAATAAAATGTCCTCTTTTTATCAATAAATAATTTTATAGATAAATAATATTAAATAATTTGAAAAGAAAATAGGACATTCTTAAAAGTTTATTTAATAAAATTTTAATAATACTGCTCAGTCATCAGTAAATCTGTAAGGAAAAGAGATGCAAATCGAAGCATTAATCAATAATATATTTCCTAATAAACTTAAAATAATTTTCTGTAACGAGTGTCAGTAAATAAATTATTGTCATTGTGTTTGTCAAATATTTAAAGAATTTTCCTTTCTCTATTATATCTCTTTATCTTGTAAATTTTATTTTATGAACAGTTGAACATGCTTTGGTGATTCTTAAGTGTGATAATATATTTAATGATGGGAAAATGATATAAAAGCAGGTTAAAATACATCATTTGTAACCACACATACATACACACATACATTTGCAATTATCAAGCGAATATAAATCACAAAGTCTATAATTCCAATTTTTAATCCAAAGAGACATAAAGGAAAATAACCTGTTTTTGTTTAATTTTATCTAATTTAAGATGTAAAGTACTTAGAACATATGAATGCTGATGTACAGTAAAAAATTATTTATATTGCTTTGACAAATATAAAAAATATGCACTATTGCTAACTAGGACAGCAAACAGTAAAACTTGAACACACAAATGATTGAACCAATATAAAATAAGTTTTTAGAACATATATATGACATGTTATTAAACCAAAGTAGGTTAACAAAATGTTAAAGAATGTGTACTTTTTATTATAACACTTTATAACTTCATGTTTTAATATATTTGTGCATACATACCTCAAAGTATATACTATTCGAAGCTAAAACCAGCTTGTGAACACGTAGTTTTTGTTCATCGCAGATCAATGTGACATCGACTAGGGCCTGACGTGCCAACAGACTACTGAATCTCTCTGTAATATATCCCGCGTGGCCAGCCCACTGCAGGACACAATCCTTTGGTATCTCAACCATAGCTACTACAAATAAAAAATGACATTTATATTGTATAAAGGTTCATATATAAGAATAAATATATATATATATATATATACCAATTTCTACAATTTTATTTGTCAAAGACAAAGGCTATACTTTAAAAAGTACTTTGAAAATTATTAATATGTCATATAATATACATGAGAAAAGAAAAATCAACACTGAATTCACTAAACAATATATATGTCTAAAATTAACTTTGATAGAGGTAGACATCTTGTGTATGAGAAAGACTGGAATAAGGGGCAAAATCTGGTTTTGATAAATTCAAATATATATGGACACTAAATCAAATAATACATATAAAAAAAGTCGATTATTTTTTTACAAATTATTAGAGTTTTTGAAATTCAAAATACCTCAACTTTGAAGATATCTGTTAAATTTGTACTAGTTGTAAATTATCAAAACTTTTTTTGGTCTTACTTTATTCTATCTCAAATTCTACAAAAATATTCTAATAATAAGGATAATCGTAATTTCGATGCGAGATATCCAGATTTACGCCAGACACGACAGCGCGCTCGTTATGTTTGATAATAGAAAGTACACGAATTATCGGCGTAAAAGGTACCTTTTCTCTCTCTGTAGCCGTTAAAATTGAATTTGTCGGTCGCGATCCCGATCTCGCGAATGTTCTCGTACTCACCGGTAGCGACGTGATCGTCGTCGACGTGCGCATCTGCAATCGGGAAGCAGCAGCGTCCTTCCCGCGGTCAGGCATAGATCGTAGAGGTGGGACGCGTTCGTTGTTGTAACGTCGTTGGTGCGGACGCATACGGTCGCTCGTCGTCAATCGCCGGCAATAATGTCGCGTGTTCGCACGTTTCCCGTCAAGGCTCATGAAACGCCGGCGAGATCGTTGGTCAGCAAAACCGACGGCCTTATACGACATTGGCTTCGCGAATTGACTTGCACCCCGATGATCGCGTCTGCCAAGAAAGCGCAGAATAATGAGAACGATAGACGGTCAAGTTCGCGCTTGCGCGGAATTTGGAGCGCGCATGCGCCAACCGTCGATAATACGCACGGTGACTCCTCGATCTCGACTGTTGGTAATTCAATGAAATTAATAATATCGTGTATAATTATTGAAGATAATATCATTGCGTTCCATGTTGTTTTCCATCAACTCACCAGAGGTCGCCTTATGTTTCAAATATCAAGTTTTCTCTTTTGCTGTGTAATCGTGTAAACGAAATATAAATTTTGTGTTTTACGTACCTTGATTTCTCTCTCTTCTGGAATACATACAGAGGAACGTGGCTATATCCTTCTAATATATATAAGGTAATCATTTATACATTCAATAAATTAATAACTATACAATATGTTTCAACATACATTGAATACGACTGTGTAATTAATATGAATAAATAAGATGTATATATATATATACATGTAACATATGTTAAAGAGATCTAACGTTACATTACAATAGTTTTATTTATCGAAACAATTTTACACACATTGAATCCTAACTAAATTATTTTTTGTTTATGCGAGTGATGTTTTCGTACCATTTTTTACCTGAGAAAAACACTTTGACCATTTGTGTCGATGAAATAAATACATCACACGAGCAATATCGAATTTCCTTAGTTTTACAAAAATAAAAATTTAATATTTATAAAATGTAATACAATATTATTTTAAAAATTTCAGTATTTCTAATTTACTATATGTATATCTATAGGGAAATCTCCGCGATGTTAACGTTTGCCGTGTTTTAATTACGCTACCGTGTCAGTCCTCCTCGCTCAGAAACACAATTTCCATATCGTATTTGAGTTGCATAACTCACCATCAATTCGAATAAACATTAGATATAAGAGAACAAAGTTATTGCGATGCTATTATCTATTCATCAAGCAAACTAAAAAGGTACCGTTATAATTATTACGTTTAAAAAAAAAAAAAAGGAGTAAGAAACGAGTTTCAGTGCAGTTGAAAAAATATAGGTTACACGGGTTATTAATATCAAAATTCCGAATTTTCAAGTTCATTCATTCATCCATGCTTCGCGAGTTTCATCGCTTCCAGCTGTCTAATCTGTTGTTGTCGGTACGGCGGTCGTGGAGATAGACGTCGCAGCCGCGATCGCCTCCAAGTCTTCCTTGGAGAGATTTTCCTTGAGCCAGGCGTCGATCACCGGCACGTTTTCCTCGTTCCACTTAATAGACTCCTGCTTAATGATCCTGAGCGCCTTCCTGATGATGGCATCCGCCGATTCGAATTCATTCTGATGGTCTACGTAGAGCTGGCTCACCATGTCGTAGCCCTCATGCGTGTTGAACGACGACGTGGCGGAGTTGATAATGCCGTCCCAGAGATAGGTCTTGTTCTGGAATCGCTCCTTCACGGTATACCAGTGATCATGCAGGAAGTTAAACAGGGTCTTGTAGCCGGTCGCGCTGCCGGTCAACATGCTAAAGATCAGTTGGACGTCCGCATCCGTGAAGTTCTCATTCTGATCCAGCACGGATACTTGCAACAGCCTGAGATGCGATCGATCGGCATTGATATCGTAGCAGATATGGAAACAAAGCGATATTTTTTTATTTATTATTAACTTATATTTAATATTTTATTTATTATTCATATTTATTCATTTACGCGAGATGTGATAAAACCACCGTTCTTTTCTTCTTGAAAAATATTGTGTTTTCAAGCTAGCTTTTCCATTTAATTTCTCATTTAAAGAATCAATTTTTTTTAATTATAAAACGCTTTGTCTTTAAACGTTTCAAGTTTGTCGGAAACAACAGGACAAAGGAGGGTATTCGAAAATTGCATTTAATTATCTTTCCGACTATTGTAAGAAATAAAGGAAGAAATGAAAGTTGTAGAGAGTCAAAGCTGAAAACGGTACGTGTAATTCGTAATTATACTGACTTTTCGATCTTATTCGCATCCTTTGGACATCCGGCAAGAGTCTTCAGCAAGTAGGTGCGCTCGTTCTGTTTTCTCGCCAAGCTGGTCTTTGGGAAATTTATGACGCGTTGCAGTCCAAACTCCCATTCTTCGTTGGTGCCCCATTTAAACACCGGGCACAGGAATTTATTCGCGACTCTGTAAAATATATAATTTTTGCGCAAGTGTTGTTACACGCTTAACGATATAAAACGTTTAATTCTCGTTATCAAAAATAAAATTATTAAGTAGATTAAAAACGTTTAGTACATGCAATAATTTTTTTCATTTCTCATGTTATATGATATACTGACGGATTTCCTTTGTCCGGTTCCTCATCGATCAACCATTTCTTGAACTGATCCCTAGCTTCCTTAATGCAAGGTTCATATCCAGTTCGGCAGAGGAAATTTTGCATAAGACCACGCATATGAGTTTTCCAAGAGGGTTCGTCAGGTTGCGGATTCTCGCCAAGTTCCAAGTAGAGAGGCTTCAGCAAGCTTTGGATGTAAGCCTGATTAAGTGTATTTTATTTAATTATTTATTTGATAGAATACAAAGTTTTAAACAGTTGATTTTGAAAACATTACACATTTTATGGATAATTTTAAAACAAGATGACAAAAGAGAAGAAAGGGTAAGTGAAAACGCGAGGAAACTAGTCTAATATTAATAATTCATTTTTTACGTGTATTTAATAATTAATATTTATTAAATTTATTATATAGACTTTAATATTATATATAAAATATATGATATTAATTTGGACCGGGTAATCGATATTCAATATTGACGACAAATTAGGCTGCTTAATGCCGACGTTTAATATTAATTATGTCCACCGCAAATTTTAATTAAATTTATTTAATATTGCTATTTAATAGTGGTATTTAATATAGATTAAACCCACCTGGCGTTTTATTCGGTTAAAGCTTACTTGCCTCGAATTTGAAATTCACGTCTAATCCCTCGATCCGCCGACCGACATGATGAATCATCGTGAACACCGGTTCCCAAACCACGTGGCTCTTTTCCTGTTTTAGGAAGAGAGTCATGTTCATGGCAATGCCAAAGCACAATTCGCCGGCATACGCCAAGTTCCATGCATCGTGCAGCAGTTTCGCTCTCGTTAACGGAGGTATCCTCTCGCGGTTTGGTCCTTGCAAGTACTGCGACAACATCTTCCAATTGCAGGAGTCATAGTTTACCGGAAACATTCCTGCAAGGAGATCATTTTGTACACATCCTTACGTAGCATATGCTGTGCGATATTCGTGAGTATTTTGGGTTTGATCTGTAATTCATTTCTTTCGAATGTCTAGCGATCTTTATTTTAAATCTTGATATTCGAATAATAATTGTAAAGATTTAACAGCACATTTCGCTAAAACGCATTCAGAAATCGAATAGTTTCACATAATCACATAAACTTAGAATTTGAAACAAATGTTTACGAAAAATTAAGGACTAAAAATTGATTTCTGAAAAAAAAAAAAAAAAAAATCTTTTCCTAAAAATATGATATTTGCTTACCTATCTCTTCGGGATTAACAATGATAAAATTGTCTTTGTTAGTGAGGTCCAACATAGTTAAGTTCTTTGGTACGATCTCTTTTCTCAACCACACGGTTGGTTTAGTATCATGGAAATTTAGATTATCCTCAGCCTGCATCACGATCGGGATGTCCCATTGATACGATACTTTCGCTGTCGATTGTGGCGGTACGTCTCTCAGATAAACTTTCTGAAAACGCGAATTAATTATATCTTATTTCATAAAAAAATTAAGTTGAGAGTTTCACATATATGTATTATGTTATATTTTTGTTTATATATTATACACATATATTATTTATATAAAAATGATTACGTTTAACGTAAGATAAAACACCAAAAGAAGTTAACAAATGTTAATTAAAAATAAGATTTAAAGATTTTAGTATCCACAAGTTAATAAAAATCTAGAATTATATATTTCATAGAATGAAACTCGTGCATATAAATTAGACGCGGAATTACGATTTCTTGTAATCATTTTATGTATTTCCATAAGAGCGAGAGACGTGCAAATATTGCGTAACACGTGTGTGCATTAAACAGATAAATTTTTGATTTTATTATTCTTTTCTTCAAAACTATGTGGTTGTTATAATATATGCTACTTTGGGGATTAGAAGTTCTTTTGTTAATGCAATCAGATAAAGCTATGTAAATATTTCTTAACGAATAAATCAATGATTGTGTTTCTTTGTACGCGAAGAACAATATATTTGTTTCAGGAAAAATTATGCGTTTAATAATTGATTTAATAACTGCAGTTAAATATATATGCAATAATCTTTTACTATTATTTATATTTACATCTTATTATTTTTACTTGTGATTATATGGTTTTTTATTTCTAGTATTTCTAGTCTTTATATACGTTTTAAATTTCTTAGATGAGAATATAATATATATATATATTATACAGAAGATGTGTGTGTCTGTGTGTATACGCGTGTCTGACATGTCATTTTCACATAATTTTTTAAGTAGCATTTAGCGTACGTTTTCACTTTATAATACACATACATATTCTTATGTATACATGTATGTGATATCAAAAACAAAATAATAATTTTACAAGGATA